ACATTTTAGTGATGTATACCTATTTTTGAATGTGTAAGGAATTGACTGTATATCAGGATTGTATGTGGTATATCAGTTGCAAATGTATGCATGTATGTATGCCTTGGGCAATATATGCTTCGGGTTGGTTCTCGGCAGGCTTCCTTAAATAAATGGTTTACACTGCTGTGTTAATTTTTGTGTAGTGGAGACTAAATAGCTGGTTCGCTTTGACAAAAACCTATTGCGAATTATTGTTGGTGAGCCAACAATTTCCATGTTCAACATCAAGAGGTACGAAACTTTCATATACATTACGAGAGGCTTCATTTGACTGATTTCGTCTACTTAGATACTACGTGCCCCTGATCGGTTAAAAAAACATATTTTATTGCAGCAGTAAATCCATAGTTATTTTATTAAAGGCATTAGACCGCGGTTTTGATCGGTTAAATAGCGCAATATTGAGAGAACATCGGAAAAACTTGTAAATCACTCGCCTTCCGAAGGTGATTTACAATCATTTCTCGTGTTCTCCCGGCTTCTTGCGTGGTTAATTACCCAAGTCCACCGATAGAAAGTGCGGTCTATTGTCGTCTAATTTCTTGAATTAAATTACTATGCTATTTTTTTCAAGGAATGCTAAAGTTATATTAACAGAGCTAGCGGTCGTGCCAAATTCAATTATGTACATTTCCTTGCGTTTTATAAACATTGGTGAATATTTGTAGTAAATTTCAACGATTCTTTTTAACTAGTTTTGTTTTTGTAAAGAAGAAGAAGAAAAAACACTTGAGAGTTTTAGGGAATTGCTCTCAAAATGCGTGAAATTTCTGTTTTTTTACTCTCCCATCGCCTTAGACCATGACAACTACCTGTTCCAAGGAAGTCAAGGGCACGACTCGCCTTTCTTCAACTAAATTACCTAAATTACCTTTCGAAGAACAATTGTCTTCAACCGCTACCAGTTCATATTTAATCTAACGCGCTTTGTCCCACACAAATGTTCTAAATCTTGCATATAACTTAGCATGGGAGTGGAAAAAAACAGTACTTTTATTATTGCTAATCGTTTGTTAACTTTCTCTCTTCAGAAAACACTCCCGCCACCTGCAGCCGGGATGTTAAACGGGTGATAACAAACACAAAATTGGACACATTCCTGGAATTTTCAAACGCGATATTTAACCGCTCTGTAAGAGCGAACCAAACTTTTTAGAAGAAATCTAAAAGGAAGGAAACTGTATTATCAATTAAAGACAAGTAGAATTATTTGAAATGTGAATTCTAGAAAGAAGCTGACGCTATGGAAGGAAGCTGACATCCGAACGCTACATGTTCTAAAACTCGTTGCTTCAGTTCACTTACTTGCTGGCGTAACGCGTTCGCCACGGCGTTAAGTTCAATATTTTTATCTTTCAATTGCTGTACTCTAACTTCAAGCTGTGCTTCTCTTTCAAGTTTCTTTTTTCTACATTTTGACGCTGCCACTCTATTTTTCTGTTTCTTTCGTTCGCGTTTTACAATTTCTTGAAGTTCTAAATCTATGGGCGGTAGAGGAAGTACATTCCCTGGTTGCGGTTTCAAAGAGTCCTCAGCGTATTCAAAATTTTCTGTTTCTGCCACAACCGGGGCCGTAAAAGCCGTCGGGTTTAGTTCATGATGTTCATAAGTTGTCACCCCGGCGTAAGGGGGATTTCTGATATCATACGATGTCTCATTAACGGCTATTTGCGTGTGGAAGTTGTTAACTGTGTTTTCAGGTTCTGCCCAAGTGTTATTGGTACCTGAACTAACGGGTATTGTATTTTGCTTGTTGAGATGTTCGACCGGTTGTTGCTGTCGATCATGGATTTGTTGTAGAGCCTCGGCAAATCCTTGGACATAAGCTTCGTGCTGTTGCTTAACGCTGTGGTTCCCTTCTCGCACACCTTTAACATGCGTTGGCGATTTCTGATTCTGAACACTGGCGAGAATTTTTTCAAACTCTGGTGAAATCAGATTAAATAAAGTAAATTCTGGTGAATTAATTCCTCCAGGGTTTCCTTTAGGTGTTAGCCCCGTATTGCTTGCAATAAACTTTTCCAGCTCAGGAGAAACCATTTTGAACAAAGATAATTCAGGCGAATTCTCGTAAATTCCTAACTTTCCGTTCCCTCTGTATTCCTGTACGACTGACGGATGATGACCTTCGAGATTCAACCGCAGCGCGTTCTTGTCATAACGCGAAAAACTGTTCACTGGTAATGCGCTCTGCTCGTAAAACAGCACATCCATGTTTTCACAGCTTCCTACAACGTGTTCACCCATTCTGGAAATTCTTTGGCCGTGTCTTTATGCCTTAGTTAATCCGAAATAAACGTAACTCGTTCCACTGAAGCCGCTATGGTCCCCATCCTGTCATTTTTTTGGAATGAAATCACTCTACCGACCAAAACATTACGTCATTTAGCAAGCCGCTTATTGGCTGACGAAATTTTCGCGCCAAGAAACACTCGGTTCTCAACGATGGCCAGAAAGTGTCAAACTAAAGATTTCTACTTGATTTTTCATGGAGATCACTATTCTCTTCCAAAGCTACACCATTTTGCAACCCCGCTACACTATAATCTTTCCTTGATGTCCTTTTTTTTTTTAAGGGTTTTATTTCACTTTGGAGAAGGGTAACGCAATTTTGTGATCACGATCCTTAGTCAATGACCACAAACTAACATACAGATTGTTCTCAATTTGCCACCTGCATGCCACCCGTTGAAAACTCATCCAAACCTAGGATTTAAAGCGATGTGGGTATTAGCCCGGGAAATAACAATTTCTATTGCTAGTTTCGCTCCAGTGTATTATAAAATCAACTTTACAGAGGTAAACAAACTAAAACCAGCTGTTTACGGTAAAATTAATTTGAAAATTTGCGTCAATGGAAAATAAAGATTTGCTTTGGATAATGGGTTTGATTTAGGTTCAAATTTTTTGATCAGGTATTTGAAATGTTATGAATTTGGGGACGGGAATTCAATTCATAACGGCTCGCATCGTTTCAGATAAAAAGCCCAAGACATTGAAAAAATACAGTAAAAAAAAAAAAACGATAAAAATTCCTTCAAGTATTAGTAACATATCTAACATAAAAATGTCATTTTATTTATTCCATGTTTTACCTAATTATTGTCGTTTATTGAGAGTCAATTTTTAGATACCCTTGATGATTAAAGTTGCTTAGAATTTTCAAGTGTTCAATATTTGGAACAGTTCCTGAAACGCAATTTTGTATTTTACATCGGCCACACACTTCATACTAACTTTAAGACTTCTCACGGTTGTAACGTAAAAATCATTCAAAGTCTCAAAGCCACTTTTAGCTTGTTCGATTGTTGGACAAGTACTCGCTGCGCGAAAACGAATTTGACATTTCCATCTTAAAAAAATAATCAAAATATGACGTTACTCTTCACAAGTTCCTTATACTTTCCAGAGGTGATATGTTGAGGATAAACAAAATCAACAGCTAGAGTTGTGTTTTCAAGATATATTACGAAATTCTCCTAACTTATTTACAGGGCTAAGTATGGCAGCTAGGAGAGAGAATTGCTTTTGGGATCTTGGGAGTTATCGCGTCTGGCCTGTTTCTAAGCAACAAACACGACTTGCGACACAAGATTTGACCACCCAATGGGGATCCGCGATCAGCTTGCACGTGAGAGAACGAGAAGTCGTCGCTTTGTGAACCAATGGCTGATCCAGGAATCTCTAATGAGGGGAGGGGGGTGTAAACTTTTAATGAGAAAATAACGACAATTTTTTAACACTACAGCCTACTTATTTATGCAACTAAATTTTGCAAAACTTGTAAAAATTAAAGCACTGGTAACAAGCGATCCTACTATTCTGAGAATTTTGGTGTAACACAAACGGATGAAACCCAACGGTGGAGGGGAGGGGAGGGGAGAGGAGGGAGTAACGAACCCTACCCCACCCATCTCCTGAACATTCTCCTGGATTCGCTAATGTGAGTATGACTTTAAAAACACAAAATGGCACCGCGACTGCTTATCAAGAAAGTGAACTTAAATTAGGCCATCCTGCACGTTTTCGCGCACCCATATCATGTTGCGTTTTGTTTGTTGGACCTGCCAGCTCACTTTTTGATACGTGTATCTTGGCATATTCCATCTGTTTGATCTCTCGGTTTTTGTGGTGTATTTACACTGTAGACCAGATTAGGGAGTATCTATTTCTCCAGCAGGATTAGTTGAAAAGATCACGTTCCTTCATTCTCGTCACAATTCCCCAGGAATTCATAAAGCAATGTTATGAGAAGTTTGAAACTAGTCACAGCTCGCTGGTTCCCAACTGTGCGTTGACAACACATATCAGTCAATGCGCTACCATGGAAAAATGACGTTGATTTTGACAACGTCACATCATTTGGAAGGACTCTTCTAAATAACTCATATATATTAATGACATTTTGTAGGGAACCACGGCGCTTTTTAATTCGAAGTGCTAAGCTGCAAGGTATTCCTCTTCGATGGCTCTCATCATACGACGCGTATTTTAACGGACGGCGAATATGTCCATGATCTCTTCAAACCATGTATTTCTCCTTTGAGAGCTTTCTCTGTGTTTTCAGAATTGCAAGTTCTTTCTGGTGACTCGGATCCAGTTCCCTGTTGAGAAGTTGCGGTTTGTTCCGTTGCGGTCTCAGTACAAGAAATGGAGACCATGAATTGTCCCGCATACAAAAAAATCAGCGAACACGAGTGACAGAAAGACTTCCCGGGTAGTACCTGAAGAAGGAATAAACATTTTGATGTCTCTGAAAGGCGATGGACTAGCAATATTAACCAGGAGCCATTGTAATGCAGGTTTATACCCAGAGCGAAGCATTGCGAGATTTTCGCAATTTGAAATGAAATGTCGAACAACACTGATGACTGGGAGGCAGATGAGAGGGCAAATAATTGTGCTCAGGGATGAGTAATATATGTTAGAGCTGAATATCCTTTGAAGTAAAGAATTCGAACCATAATTGCCAACAAGATTGACACTGCCCCACTGAAGAGACTTGATCTCAGTTCATGTAGACGTTAAATGAAATTGATTTAATTCAACTGAGTTTATATTGTAATTGGGAAAGAGAATCTAAAGGTGACGTTTCGAGCCTTAGTCCTTCATCAAAGCGAATCCAAATGGCCAACACTCAACTTGAAACGCCATCTTCAAATCAGTTCACGGAGGCCATTTCACATTATCAACTTAGCTGATAAAACCAAATTTCATTGAGATTTTAGTTTGCTCACGATTAGATTTGTATCAAGACGCTTTAAAATAACCATACTTTCAACCATTTCTTGGTTTCCGCGAGGATTGAAATAGAAATGAGTACTGGACGAGATCGTTGTTGTTGGGAGTAGTAGGCTGAAAGGGCAACGCAAACATTGTTTTTTTTTTTTCCTCATCCTGTTCCTCTTCCCCAACCCTCCCCTCCCCAGAGACAAAACACAGCAAACACGTCACCACATGTTACTACCTCAGGAGTATGAACTTGTAACGTTCCTACCCAGGCCACCTTTCCATCCAGCTCGGTCACCGGACAACCGGAGGCCTGGTCTTGGTAAGGTTCAATGGCTAACACTAAAGGCCCATGAGGTTCATCTGATATTGAAAAAAAAAGGAGAAAATAATATGTGGAGTTAATAGTTACTTGTTTGGCCACTACATACATTGCACTCTTATGCTATGACAGAGGGTAATCATCCGGCTATTCTCCAATAACACCCCATCACAGTTTCTGTGAAGTTACAACCTTAACAAGAATCATGCGCATTAGGTGCATCATAGTCACCGGGCAAATAGAGTAAAGATACGCGAATACGCGTAAGTGACGGACACGGTGGTCAAGTGGTAAGCACACTGAACTCTAAACCGAGAGGGCCCGAGTTCGAGACCCATTAGAGAGAACGCGTCGAGTTCTTAAGGCAAGACACTCACTTTCACAAAGGTGATCTCCAACTTGGGAATAAGTCGAGAATGTCACGCAAAACCTGATTAACGTTACGACTTACCACTTTGATTAGACACATGAACATTGAGCTTCACAATCGTGCACAGTGAGATAGTGATTCCACTTGATGTAGTGTTGTCGTATTCCTCTCCATTGATCTGAACACCTTTGAATAAGAAACTTCCCATCCAATCATATTCTATCATAATTACCAAGAAAATTCTATGACGAATGTACTAAAGAACGACGAATCCTTTAAAATCGTAGCTTATGTGATTATAACGAGGAAAGCACGGAGCAAGTGATGACATTCATATAATGGAGCCCACGCGGAAAGAGTTTCATATGCGCTTATCCGTAGGCGAGTGATTCTCAAAATATTTTTGTATCAGCATTTTGACATTCTTGAACACTTGCAGGATCACGTAGCCTCTAAGTACGCGCATTAAGCAGAAATCACCAACTGCAGAGGTCAAGTGAATTGAAATGTTGCACATGTAGGCTCATTGAAACTTTTCTATATAACGAATAAGAAATTTGGCCAAAATAAAAAAGAAACAAAGTCTGCATACACACAGCAATTCGAAAGGAGAAAACAAGGATTGTTTTAACACTTCCAGGAAAATGTTTAAGGAAACTACCGTTTCTTTCATCAGACTATTTTATGTTTACAGTCGTAATCATTAAGATACTTCACATATCAGTCGCTCACCAAATGTGACTGGATCTGGTCTCAATGCCTGCATCATACTCGTATTTAGTTTCAGATTCTCTACACTACCACAGCCTTCAGCGTTACATGCTGGCTGTCACACAATCAAGGATAACACAACAATATCGGTGATGCCTGCAGATTACACAAGGGAGGGAACGAGGGAAGAGGGCCTGAAAGCCTTAGGAATGAATTGTAAATGTTTAATCACAGGGTTTGTAAAAATGTTTGAGCATGAAATTCAATTATTCTTTCAGACTCAAGTAAAAGTAGTAAGTGTCAAGAAAGTACCAAGTTGTGGCTTGTGCGGAGTATTGGTTGAAAGGGTTTGCACCCAAATTAAAACCTCTCCGATCTCGCTCTAAAACTGTTTGCCCTTTTGAAAGGTAATCTGCGTGAAAGTTAACTAGCTTAAAAAATCTCATTTAATAACGATCCCCTTTTCTTAAGGACTCTTTTTTTAAATCTTTCTTTCCATTTTAGTTTCTTCACGTATTGAAAATTAGTTTTGGAATCTCTGACGTCTGAGAAGGAAACTCAGAAATTCTTATTCTTACTGACAAGAAGTTTGCCTTTTAAAACCGATCGATGTATAATTATTCACAACAATAGATGACCATGATCATCTCAAACTTCCCAGCAAATTTCTACCATGCCCAAACCTCGCATTTACGAAAAGGATACAAGATTCCAACGAATCTTAACCAAGTCACAAACTCTTCTTTCGTATTCAGCGCGTCTCTGGGAGTCAGCATTAACCTTAAAAACACGTCAATGAAAAGTCTTGGAAAAATTGTGAATTACTTTTCAACAATAGACCTCAATTTCTATCGGTTTACCGGCTTCATAACCCACGTGGGAAGGACGTATGTCCAGAAATGCATACAGTAACGAAAATAGGGGAAATTTGTCAAATCGTTAAATTCACTTCGACGAATTTGACTGAAATTCGTCAAAATCGTAAATTCCGCCAAACTGATTTCGCTTTGACGAATTTTACTAAAATTCGCCTACATCGTTAAATCTGCCATTTCGTTACTGCGTGCATTTCTGGACATGAGCGAAGTTGGGAGAACACGATAAAAGTTTGTAAATCACGAGCTAGAGGCAAGTTAATTACAAACTTTTGTCGAGTTCTCCCAACATCACAAGTGAGATATTAACCTAGTAAACCGATAGAAATTGCGTTATTAAAATAAACTTTAAACAAAGCACACTATTTCCTATGGGTTTACAGGTGCAATAAACCATGGGTTTGGACCAATCAGGGCGCTCGTACTGTATATAAACTAAGGATTTTGACCGATCAGGGTGATCGTAATATCTCAACTATTTCATAAATCACCACTAGTTATTGCGTCGTAGGATACCAATAATGGATTTCGGAATGGGGTACGAGAAAAATCTGAGAAAACTTTCAAGACTATGAAAAATGCTCACCTCTTCGTTATGGTTATCAGACACTGGTAAAGTAAATCTCGGCAAATTCATCGTTATCCTGGAGTAAGGGAACGAAATAACCATAAATACCGTGATTGACTTCGAGAAAGCAACACCAGCAACATGAAAAAAAAAAAACAAAAAAATTCTCACCTATTTTTGTCATTTCCTTGAATATTCATCGCACCATCCGTAGTCAACTCTCCTACTGCAAAAAATTACCAAAAAACAAAAAATATCAAAATAAGCAAAGAATTACAGCAGCAGAAACCTAGTAGGTGAAATATTCAACACTTACCAGAATTAGATTCATTACAGTTGCCAACACACAGGGACAGTTCCATGTCATTGGAGGTCTTGTTAACAGCATCAAACATCAGTAAACAATGAGATCGATCACTTAAAAAAAAAAAAATAAGATGAAAAGAAAAGACAGTTAGTTTATACTTGTGAGAGTCGTTATTCACAACTTTCAGCGTCGCGTGATGGTAAAATATTCCCCCTGAGTATTTTAGTCTGTCAGTGAGAAGTTACTGTCTACGTTGTCAAGTCAGCTTTTAGCAGGGTCTTGTGTAATGAGCTTTAAACGCCAGACACAAACATGTAGAAAATTGCCGTTGCTAAGGCTAGTTTGGGGAAACTAAGCGTTACGTGACAGGCTAGGTAACTGTGTAGCTACTCCATGTCTTCATCAGTAAACATTGTCACGCAAAACCCTAAGTGAGATTATCACGCATCTTACCTAGGGAGCTCTATAATCTGATAGTTTTCACAGATTAAGCTGGGCACTACTGTCACATCTATGGCCATGGTGACCTTACGTGACATGTGACTGCTAGATCCCGTTGAGTAACGGAACTGAATGGAACCGGTCAAGCCCCATGGTGCCGCCGGATCGTAGCTGGGATTTTCATTGCTCTCGGTGCCTTGTGGGAAGCGATGAGCGCCAGTTATTGTTACTGTGATGTCGGTGGAGTGGCCAGGAAGGACTGGGAGCTTGGACTTGATTTCTTCCTCATCAAAACTGAAGAGTTCATCGAGTCCTAAGCAGAAGGAAAATACGTTTTGGTCAGCTTGCTCACCTTCACCTTCAACCTTAACCGTCGGACCAAGTATCTCCGTACGGATAAACGGATGTATTTTCTCAGCTCAACGGCTGACTATATCTTCTTAAGTATGGATACGTTGTTGGCCGTTGAACTCCGCTTTTAAAAATAAGCAGAGAGGCAGCGGCCCAATTGTTTAATCAAGAGGGTTCGAGTTCTGGCCAGAGTGACTGTGTTATATTTTGAGAAAGAAACATTCATCTCATGTCGACAGGAAGCTGTTTGGGAAAAAAAAAGCAGCTAAAAGGCGCCAAGATAAATGGCAGGGAATGGTTAGAATCCAATATAAGCTTGCCAACTAGTAACCTTTGTCGCTTTATGGAACAAAGATGTTCAGAGCCACCCTATCAATGGATAGACAACACTTTATCATCTACTTCTTGTCTTAACTCCTTATCGCAGTGAAAGAAGACAATCTAGCATCTCCCTCATCAAACCTGCACTAGTGACGATCACCTTCCCCTCCCCTGCGGCTATCCGGTGTAAAGTGGGTTAACTCCTTACCTTCCCCATCCTTGCTAGTAACAGAAATATTCAGACTTTCGACTGGCATCTTGCCAATGTTTTCCAGATTAATGGTCCCTTTCATGCTGTTAACAAAGAGAGGAATGATGGATTAATATCAGTATCTGGGCAACTGCCCACCTACCCCTCCCCTAACGCAACA